TCTGATCCCTCAACTGATTGCTTGTTTATATTCCTCACTATTGGTGTTAAAGGGGGCGACGACTCGCCGGTTATCCCCGTAATTATCATTCAAAAGAGTGATGACGGATATGGCGGTGGAGGCGGCGGTGGTGGAGGATATGGTGGAGGCGGTGGTGCCGGAGGATATGGTGGGGGCGGCGATGATGGAGGTTATGGTGGCGGCGGAGGAGGAGGTGGTTATGATGGAGAAGGAGGTGATGGTGGCGGAGGGTATGGAGGCTCTAGCGGTGGAGGCGGCAGCTCCGGTGGTGGAGGCTATGGTGGCGGAAGTTCAGGAGGTGGTGGTGGTTATGGAGGCTCGGGTGGCGGTGGAGCTGGAGGTTATGGTGGCTCAAGTGGCGGAGGAGCTGGTTATGGAGGCGGAAGTTCCGGCGGTGGAGGCTATGGAGGCTCTGGTGGTGGAAGCGGCGGAAGTTCGGGTGGCGGAGCCGGAGGTTATGGAGGTTCTAGCGGTGGAGGAGCCGGCGGTTACGGCGGCGGAAGTTCCAGCGCTGGGGGCGGTGGAAGTTATGGCGGCTCCAGTGGTGGAGGCGGTGGTTACGGAGGTGGGGGTTCCGGCGGTGGAACCTATGGAGGCGAAAGTTCAGGAGGCGGTGGCTATGGAGGGTCAGGCGGTGGAGGAGCCGGCGGTTACGGCGGCGGAAGTTCCAGCGCTGGGGGCGGTTATGGAGGCTCTGGAGGAGGCGGAGCTGGAGGTTATGGTGGGGGAAGTTCAGGAGGCGGCGGCTACGGGGGTGGAAGTTCTGGTGGTGGAGCCGGTGGTTATGGAGGGGGCAGTTCAGGCGGTGGTGGTTACGGAGGAGGAGGAGGTAGTTCCGGAAGCGGGGGTTATGGAGGTTCCAGCGGTGGAGCCGGTGGTTACGGAGGCGGAAGTTCAGGTGGCGGAGCCGGTGGTTATGGAGGGGGCAGTTCAGGTGGAGGAGGCTATGGAGGCGGAAGTTCCGGGGGCGGAGGCGGAGGTAATTATATTAACTTAATTAAAATTATATAGTGTTTAGCAATAAATTATAGTATTTTTGATCACATCTTATATGATTTACGGGTACTTCAGACAAACGTTTACTTAAACTATAGTTTAGCCAAACTTTAAATAATATTGAAGTTTAAGTAAACACTTAAGAAATGGTGAAAATTGAAACAAATTTCTCACATTTGTGTGTAATATAGGATACGGAGGAGGAAGTGGTGGTAAAAAAGCTGCTCTTTCTGGCGGTTATTAGTGTCGACGAGAGACCAATCAATACCAAAGTGCCACTCAATACTGTTTGCCATTCACTTCAATACATAACATTAGTTAACACTTCAAAACGGTTTAGCATTTGATTTCAACTCAAAGCGAAAAAAGCCATCATTTCTAAGCAATTGTTTTAATGAACCAAATGTTAGCAAAAAACACATTTTAAACACAATTTAAAACAATTCTTAACCATAAATATTGTTACAAATAATTTATTATAACTTCAAACCATTGCGTGTGTTATTTAATGTTAAACTGTTTTCTACTTAACAAACATTTTAATAGAGACTTAATTGTAAATATATTTCTCAGCTAGATGATATTTGTTTTTATAATACTGTAGTTATATTTTTTATAATAAATAAAATTAATATAATATTGACTTAAATGTAAAAAACAATCATTAAAATCAATTCAAACTATTTATTATCCAAAAACCACTGGAAGTGATCAGTGATACCAGTGCTTCAAGAATACAGAATTATATCTAGAATTGGGTCCAGAATTGAGTCCAGAATTGAGTCTAGAATTGGGTCCAGAATTGAGTCCAGAATTGAGTCCAGAATTGGATCCAGAATTGGATCCAGAATTGAGTCCAGAATTGGATCCAGAATTGAGTCCAGAATTGAATGCATAGAGAAATGCATTGAAAAGTGTGAACAACCAGTGATTGCATGCTATGCACGACATCTGGCGAGCACTGGTAGCGTAGGCACAGGTAGGCAGTGGTGTCTCAGCAATATTTACGCGACAGTCGACTGCACCACAAATGGTGGTCAACTGGGAGACAATGTTCGTCATCCGCGGTCACCACAAGCAGGCCATCAACAAACTGATCCACTGTATCACAAACACCGCCACAAGTGTGCCATCGATTGTCACTCAGCACAACGTCCCACACATTGACCACAAGATCTTCACGCGATTGACACAAATTGTCTCCGTTTACGAGTCGGTGGTCAACAGTACTGACCATCAGTTTGCGGCTCAAGAGCTCGCCGAAGACCACAACAAGGCTTTCGATGCCATCCGACAGTGGCTTTTGGCTAACTATAGTTGCCATGAATTGTTGGATCAGCTGTTCATCGACTGTACGCCTCGCGACACCTCAATGGATCCGTTGAGCGGTGACAGCGACGATGGCGTGGAGGACAAGCTGTGGACAATGACACTACTGGTGCTGAACGTGATGTACAAAATGCGGAACTGTATGTCTGAGCACAAGATGATGTTGGAGTTGGGATGGATCTGCTTATCGGAATTGGACGCGAGTCTGGAGCACATGAAACCCAATTACAACCAAATGCTGGCAGTCCTGCAGACAGCCCTAAACGAGGAGAAAAAGGACAACAAACCGGACGCCGAGGAATGCCTTCAACTGCAACACGAGGTGAAGAGATTGCGGCAAAAGATCATTGATTTGCAGCGGAATGTGATTCAAGTGAACAAAGAGAAGCAATTGTTGGCCAAACGGGACAACGCGTCGGCCTCTGGAGCCAAACAACTGAAGCCACAGAAGCGGATGACACAGAACTCATTGAAACGGGCCCTCAATTGCCAGATCGAGACCATCGTCGACGACGACCTCCAGACCCCGCACAAGAGGGGCCGCAAACCCAATGGTAACCCATATTGACATTGAATGAAAAGTTCGAAACTCATGATAACTGATCCATTGATAGCGGCCATCGCTGGCAACGGTGACTATAACTGCGATATCTGTAACAAACCGTTTGGATCGGCGTATCGACTCAATCGGCACATGTATTCACACACCGGTGAGCGGCCGTACAGTTGTCTGTGGCCGGCATGTCATCGACAGTTCAA